CTTTGGGGAAGGGAGTATGTCATCCATTCTGATATCAGTGCTGTCTGAATGGGGGTGTTTCCTTACAGAATAAATGTAGTCCAACATTAGATAAAAAACATGAAAAGTGAGACTTTGGATCACTTTTGAATTTAGGAATGCATGTAGACTACACAAAGTCATCTTAGAGGGGTGGTTAAAAAGGTTTCACTGTTCAACCTAGTTGTTATCTACTCCTTTCTTATTTATCCGTACATTGCAATGTAGGAACAAGATACACTACCATACCTATCAGGTAAGCTGTTTGCTTAAGCTGTTTTTCTCCTGATAATTGTATGTTTATATATTTATAACGTACATGTGTAGTAACTTAGAAAGCTCAGAATGTTGTACAGAAGAAACTAAACATCACACTGACTCAACTGATTTTGGAATTATAACTGTTAACTTTGGGCATGGTCCCTTTTGGTCTTTTGGTAAAGTGACCTGCAGTATGTGCTATTGCTATTATATTTTCAGAAAAAGAAAATAGTGGTTAATTAATTAATTAATTAATTATTAATGTATTTCATAGCCAAACAGATATGGAGTCTAGTCCCAACACTACCACTTCATCAACTTTGTGAGTTTGTCCATATTAATCTAAGTCTCAGTTTCTTTGTCTACAAAGTCTAAGGATACATTTCATGGAGTTACTTTGAAGACACAGTAGAGTAGTACCAATGAAGCTCTTGGGCAGTATCAATCATATTTAATAAACAGCTGGCTTTATTATTATCTTGCTTAACTTCATTTGATCCTTATTTCATAGTTCTATACTTCTTTTGTCATTTTGATACCGGTAAGCATTCTCCTAGACAGCGGTTGTTATTGATATGAAGAAAATGGAGTTAGATAAATCTGAACTAAAACTTGAGCAATGTTATTTACAATCTAAGCAGTTCTGACAAATGTGTGAGTTGTCTGTGCTTCAGTCTCCTCATCTGGGATACACAGTATCAATAGCAAATGTAACCACAAGGTGGACATACCTTGTGGGAATGGACATTCAGGTAAAATATTTTGCACAACATCTGGAATATGTAAGAACTCACTAAACACTGCCATCCAAACAGGATCTTAAGGGTGACATTGTATTGCAAATATAGATGTTAGACTCTTCTGTTCTTCTCATTTTTTTTCTGTATATAGTGAACAATAAAATCTTGGTTTATATCTTGCCTATAAATCTTGACCAATGTTTTCAGTTGTTTTCTTAAATTCAGCAGCTGATACATTAAGCCAGGAAACCTTTTATTTTCAAATAAAATCTGAACCAGAAGGGACAATAAAAAAGACCTATAAATAAAGGAGTTGAAAGGAGTTCAGAGATTGAAATGGGTGGTGCAGTAGGCAAAAAGCTGTGCGTGCTTCTCCTAGGGGTAACCCAGGATAGCTCTCCTTATGAAAATGCGTGAAAATTACTGAGCAAAACATCCTTTTCTCTGTGTAACAAACAAGGAGTTGTCCACATGTGGTTCTGTGCTATAGGCAAAGATGGAGCGACAGTAACATGACCACTGTTCAACACGAACATTCTATACCCAGGATGAAATCCAAGCACATGAATCCCTGACTCTTTCAGAAAGTCGTTAAGACACTAAACACAGCAGTTCAGTTAACCCTGTGCAATATAAATAGCAATTGATTTTAATTACACAAGATGTTACATTCAGGATTAACCTGGTTCTTCATATGCCTGCTGCTCCACCAGGACACAGAACCTGGCCCCGGCTACATCAGTCACCTTCTGTATGTGTCCCTATTACACTTGTACTCAGTCAGTATATTCACAATCATAAGAGGTGAAGAACTGTTAATTCCATCCTAGTTGGATTCAAAATGTTCTATCACAAACTGGAAACTTCAGAAAATTTTCTACATGTAATATCTTATGCATTTGTAATTTGTCAAAATATATGCCTTTAAACATGAGTTAAACTTCTCAAGATTCAAATAAACACAAAAAACTTAAATATTAAAACAAAATGGAAAATCAAGTATGGGTAAGTATGCCTTATGAAGACAATCACTTCAGTTGCTAACATCAGGTCTTTTACATTTTTTGAAAGCAACTAACTCTTCTAAAAAAATAACTAATGGAAAACTAACACTATAAACTCAACTTTACACTCCTCAGTTTGCCAGGGTATAATATTCCGTTGAAAGCAGTATGCCTACAACCGCAGCTCATTTTAAAAACAGGTGTCCCAGATAATGTCACTTGATCTGACACCTTCTTGGTTTGGTAAGTAATACTGACATTGAGGGCAAGAACTGGATTTATGCTTTGACCAGAGCTCTGAGTCAACTGCAGGGTATGCAAGCTGCTGTAGCACTTGAGCACTAGGCAAATGTGCTATGTTAATTATTGTTACATGATCTTGACATGAGCTAATCCCCATTCCTGTTAACTTCCATAGTAATTGAAGCTTCAATGCTTAAATGATAACAAGAGCTGGATAACACAGAACAATATAAAATTCAGCAGATGAGGGGACAGTTAGGGACGGCCATTCATCTCATTAGTTGAATACATATTTATTTCATAAAATAGAATGTCTGCACATCAAAGCATCTCAGTCCACCATCAAATCTGAAACTAATGCAAGGAGAATGGTGCACGCTACTTCTGCTTTGAGCTTCCTATTCCCACCATATTAAAAGGAGGCACCGGAAGTTGTGATTATAGGAGAGTACCAAAGTTGATGATCAGACATGAATTAGCAACTGACATGCTTTGACACTCTAGCTTACTGAGCAACAGCTTACAGCAGCACACAAAAGCTGTGATTTCTGTCCCCACAAAGGATGCTGTAATTCAGAATACCATATCATTTAGCACTGGTATGGGTAACCACAGTAAGGTAACTTATAGAGCCACGTTACATGTCAGAGTTCATACTTATTAACATTAAATCTAAAAATTTAACTAAGGGCAGGAAGTAGTTAAAAGCACTGCTTTTACTAATCAGAATAAAGCAGTGCTACACTAGATTTTATATAGATTATTTCTGTAAAATAGTAACCCTATAGGAACTTGTAGAAAAATGACTGACCAATCAAAACCAAGTTGACTGAACTCTGAGTCATGCCCCAGTTCATTAAATACTTAACCTACTCAATATCTTCTGCTCAATTTATGCTGTCCTAGACTGGAGACCTTCACTGCTCTGGCCCTTCTCTTCAGAATCTTATTTCTACCACTGTGGCTACTGGATAATTCTTTTTACAAAAAAAAAAAAAATTAAAATACAATTACCCTCTTCCCTTTCCTCCCTCTAACCCTTCCTATATCCTGTCCTCTCTCATTTTCTCTCAAATTCATGGCCTCTTTTTTAATCTCACACACACACACACACACACACACACACACACACACACACACACACACACACACGCTGAATCTGTTTAGTGTTGCTTATACGTACATAATCTCAGGGGCTGACCACTTGGCATTGGATAATTAATTACTGGCTCAACTCAACTCTAAGGACTTAAGGACCAATTCCCCCTCTGTCAGCAATCATTAATTCACTATAATTCTTTTTCTAGGGTTGGGCCTTGTGAAATTTCCCTCTTCCCATGTTAGCATGTCTTGTTCAAATGTTGTTTAGGCAGCCATACTCTTATGAAGAAGATATAATTACAATTTATATAAAAAATAACAATTGGAAATCTAGTCCATTGCTATAAGATATTATTTGTTTTTTATGTGCATGTTTTAAAAGTCTAAACTAGGCTGGGCAAGGTGGTTCACAAATAGAATTGTACTTCTTCAGTGTCTGGGGCAGAAGGATTGCCATGAGTCTGAGGCCGTGTAGAGTACATAATGAGTTCTAGGCCTGTATTAGAAGGCTCCCCTTTGCCTTCCCCCTGAGAATCTATAAACTAGAAAACTAATAGTGGTTATCTTGGGCGGTAGCTTTTGGGATTTGCTTTCTGTTTTTCTACATTTTTAAATTGTCACAAATGAATATCTTTAAAATAAAAGTGTGAATCTATTTTAATCTTATGCTGTGTACTGTGTTCTTGGCATGGCATCCAATTACTGATACGTTAAGAGGAATATTTATTTATACTCTGTGTTTAAATCACCAGATCATTCTACCTTCCATATTAAAAATGGCCTAGAAATACAATGCCAGACAACATTACTGTAACAGAAACAGGGGAAATGTCAGTCCTCCTTGCCTTTGGAGGCCCCGTTGTTTCAACTGTTTAAAAACAAGAAGAGAATGTAAGCAGTAATTTCAAGCAACTACTTTCACTGCCAACAAGGCAACTCACGAAGAGGCACCAGGGTCTTTCTGGTGAGATGTCTGCAGCCAGCATTCACATACACACCTCGTAACATTTTAAAAGCCACTCATAAGGATGCTGAGATTTAATAAGCTCCAGTACAATACAATTACAAGATCTGTGGGCATTTCCCCCTTTTTGGAATTTAAGAGACAATAAAACAGATTTGGAAGGAAATACTTGAAAGATGCTGGTACTAACCCATTCTAATACTTAAGGCACTTGTGAAGAGATAAACAATGGTCTGTGGTCACTGCTCCTGTATTTAAAATCTAATCTTTTCTCCAGGGCTCAAAGTTCCTTCTTTTATGTTACAAGCTATTTGTCAAGTCAATGAAAGTCTTCATTTGTATAATTTGTAAAATAATAAGGTTGAGATAAATGATCTCAGGATCCCTTCAAGCCTTACAATTTTAATATTTCTGAAGGGCTACTATATTAATGACTATTTTTCTAGATCTGGTAGAAATGAGTAACTGATACAATCAATATTTTAGTTTTATTTTCAGGGAGCCTGGGGTTACTTTCCATTAAAATTGATATGGTTATACACTTTAATCCTATCACAGAGTTGTAGCAAGAATATTTTTACTAACAAAATTATACACATTACAGAACATTAAAAACAGCCACATTAGTATTAAGTGTTTTGAAGGAAACGTCAACCCTGACTGACTGACCTGATGACTTGATTGCAGTGAGCACACATGGGAGTTCGCTTCCCGGCTGGAATGTGCTCAGCTCTCTGCACGAGGGTGTCTTGGTCACTTGGCGGCCCCACAGCTGAGTTCGCAGGGACCCCTGTACCTGAAGAAGTTGCATTGTTTGTAATTCTTCCAGTAGAAGGTGCTAGAAGTGAAATGCAAGAAAGTCAGAATGTGAACAAGCCAAATATGAACTTTTCCTAATAACAAATACTGGTTATCTGTTGACACTGTGACAAAGTTATAACTGTGCTGTAGCTAAACAGGTGAACAGAAAATATAAACCCAAGGATTAGCACAAAATATGATTGACAACCATGGTGTGAACCCACTCCTTTCTTACTTTCACAGGAGACATGGTTAGGTGACCATCACAGGTGACATATTTCTTTCCATCTAGTTATCTCTGCTCACCTGCACTAATTAAACTTAGCTCTAAATATATCACAGGCACACAAGAAACACAGTGTGTTGGAGATAAAGAGCTCACTCACTCTATTCTCTTCCAGTTTGCATTTCTCAAGAAAACCACATCATCAGTTACCAGGCATGCTGGCTCGTTATCCAGTATCATCCCTAATCCCTCTTGAGCAGCTCTGGTAAGAACAGGTCCAGATTTGGTCGATTTGGCCTCCCCTTCTCCATTCCTACAATGTTTCCTATTGAGGTCCCGAATGTTTTCTTTCTGGAGGAGCTGCCAAGATGGCTTTCTCCTTTATAGCCATTTTCCCAGTGACCACTGAAGACTGTAACGCTGGCAAACCACAGTTCTGTAAAGTGTTTCAGGTGGCCCCCTGCTCTCTGACCAGGGTATGTAGTACATGTCTCTCTGCACTGTTCACAAGTCCTTCTAGTGACATCCTCTCAATGTCACTTTTCACCACTCCGCCTTCACTTAGGGCCACAGTAGTCCTAAACTGCCTCACGTTTACTTGCACATGTGACCTTCTATGCACAGGTTGTCCTTGCTCCCTTCCCCTTGCTTGCATAGCAACTACCACGTATGATTTAAGGCTCAGTTCCTCCATGAACTATTTCAGACCCGTCCTGACCCACATCTGCCATGGTTCCTTCCACATAACAGAGATCAAATATTTGTCTCCTCGGTTCCCATAGTTTTCATGAATGCCTTAATTATTCTACTAATACTTCCGTCTATTTTCTTCTTCAAATAGCATGTTCCCAAGACCTCTTAATTCTATTCTTTAACAAATACAATCTCTGAAATGAATGAATAAATAAATAAATAAATACATTAGTGAGGAAGCACAAATAGGTCTGAAACCAGCAGAGAGGCCTTCTCTTTATCCACAAACAATTCAAGTCTAACGGGCTAGAAAATACACACATTTAAATGGTTTAAAGGGAACAACTTAAATGAAAAGTATACACATACAACACAAAACCAATACTGTGTGATACATATATTCTTCTATGCCCACACGAGTGGACAACATCTATTAAAGGTGTATTAGAAATGTGTAAAATTAATTAAGATAGCTATGAGGATGTTTTTCCTTCATTGGAATAAAACCTGTTGGCAAAGATTTGCAATTACCGATCCCAAAGCGCTGCATTTCAACAGTACTGTGTGTGGCACTCACTCTATGAAAAGGAACTTTCAACACTAGGGAGCCTGACAAGGGTGGGAACGCGTTTCCACTCTCCTTGGCTTACATATTCTCTTAAACAAATGGGCAAGGCCATTCCTGCCATATCCACTTCGAGTATCTTCTTGGTACTTCGTTTACTCTCACAGTACAGCCCTACCCTCGCCTCTACAGCTCTTCAGTTTCTATGCACAGGTTTGCTATCTCCTCAAACACTCGGAAGCATTTTCCATGCTCAATCTGGAAGTCTTTACATTTAAAGCATGCAAATGGGTCTCCTCTTGGGCACATTACAGCTTTTCCCGAGAACCTCCCTTTTTAAAATCTCCCATGTAGGCAGGCACAGATGGTAAGCATTCTGCCTCCCACGTCCCCAATGCGTCATGTTTAGACTCTAGTAACTACTCCATAGTCAGTGTTTTCAAATCAAACCCCCGCTGCCCCCGCCCCATCCAAACTGTACCCTATCATTTGAATTCCAGTTTTGAATTCCTTAAGTCTAGACAAGTTTCATCACTATTCCAGCTGCAATCTTTGACTTCTTCCATTTCCCCATTTCTTGTGACACATGCTTGTGTGCATGCACACACACACACACACTTTGCTCAGGGTCCCTTTTAGAAAACCATACTGAATACCACCTCTGTAACCTTCAGCCAATGAAATGTCCAGTTAGTGCAGCTTCCTTACTTCCCCTTGCCCTATTCTGTAAGATCATACATACACGCTTTGCTTTCTTCTCCAAAGTCTCTGCTGACTATTATGGTAGAAGTGCTCTCTTTCTCTTTTAACATCTATCACACTTTGCCTGGATAATTCACATATATTTATCAACCTCCTGTTCACATCTTCTCTTCTCCGAGTCAATTAGTTCTCAAAATGGGTACAATATATCCACTCTTTCTTTTCCACTAGAAAACTGCCTTAAGGACAGAAAGTGAAAAGACAAACGGAGAAGAGAAGGGCACAGCTCCCTTTGCTGTTTCTGCCCTCAGACTACACAGAAAGCCATTTCTTAAGTGTGGATTAGGGTTAGGGTTTCAAATGGGAAAGTTACTAATTGGAAAATCTGGAAATCAGACCTCAAAGAGAATGAAACCCTTTCATCTACCGTATCACATTATCTATGCATAAGCCCTAAAGTACTGAGTCATCCGGACATTTTACAGCAATAAATGAGTACAAAAATTCTCAAACAGTCACTGTGGGACATAAACCATCTGGCACAGGCCTCAAGAAGGTACATGAGGAACTAACTTATTTATATGAGAAGCATTTTTAATCACAAAGCATGTGGCTGGATCGTAAATACAAATGAGAAGGCTCCAAGTCCTCCTGCTTTCTATTAGTCTCCTGTACACCACCTCGGATGTGAAGGAAATGCTCACACACACCTGTTTGCTGCTGTGTGCTAGCACCCTGGCCGGCACACAAAGCTATGTAGTCCCTGCTAACAACTGAGCCCTGAGCAGCTCCAAGGCAGACTTACTTACAATATGGATAAAATACTATTTCTTCAGACTGGGTCTCACACTTCTCTATCACAGGAACAGCTAACATCTGAACAACGAAGTGCCATCCTGTGGCTCAAGTCACTTGGCAAGATAAGTTGTAAGAACATGAGGCACTGGGTGAATGAAACAATGGAAAGTGAGCCCTGTTCCCGTGAGGATTCCTGCACCACCTCAGAAAAACAGTCTGCCATGGAGACCAAATACTTCAAATGTATTGAACCCTCTGTAAAGGTGATCCATCTTGATGACAATTTACTTATCTATAACATTTTTTCTTTCCTTTTACTTTTTAGTAAGACAGTCACAGAGGAACATGGCACCAGTCCAATTTCACAACGTGGAAATACAAGCCACGAGTCAGTCATGAGTCAGTACAGTGTCACAGGAACATTGGGAAGTGAGCTCCACTTTACATTAGATTTCTTCTTCAACCTTAATCCTGAACAAGTTTCATTAAATTTGGATTCTTTTTGGAGAATGTCTACCTCAGTGGAACCTTGTTTGAAATGTTTTCCTTTTGTAATAAACATATTTCAGCAAAACTCTTAGCTACTCAGTAAACCATGAGAATGTCCCCTTCATTAACTAAAATTGATACCTTAGTTTTTTAAGGGTTAAAAATGACACAGATCTATACCTGACCTTTCCTTTTGCTTTTCAACACTTGGTATTTACAGAGATTAACATCAAATAAGTTAAACTGATATCAAATAATTTATCAGTATACTAGATGGCTCTCAGCATATAAAAAAGGATTTGTTAAACAAGTAAAATACATAGAATAAAAAGTAGTTGAATTGATAGTTTTAAAAATATTTGTCATGATGTATCTCTTGTAATCTGTGACTTCTTACATCTCTGCATTCCTTACCATACACACTCTTACACACACGTATACACACACACAAACACACACACATCCACAAAACCCTACACACAAAACCACTTACACATCTATGAACTTTTGTGTATGTTGAAAGGTTAAAGGAAATAGAGAAGAACAGACTTGTTTCATCATTACAACAGCGTGATTGTTAGCACTCAACAGATCAAGAATGCACAGACAGAAAAGGGCAGTGACTGCCCAAGGCCACGAAATTAAGCAACTGGTTCACAAACTACTCAGCATTGAGCATTGTGCTGGGTTTAGCAGTATGAATATGAACTATTTCTGCATTTTGAAGTTTATAGAAGGTTATAGACTAGTAAATAATCAATTTTGTTAAAGTAGGATGCAGTGTAGGTATGAAATGTTTCTCAAAGGCACAAGTAATGTGGTTTTGTGTCCCCATCCAAGGTGCTACGAGATGGTGGTGGATCCTTTCATAAGGTGGAACCTAATAGGTGTTTTGTGGGGGCATGATCTCCTGATGTTGGCTGTTAGGTGAATGGGCTTCCTCTGCCACATGATCCCGCCATGATGATACTTCATCATAGATTCACAAGCAGAAAAGGACAATGGACTGAATGAAACCTGTGCAACTACCCTCTGATTGGATGTGAGACCTGTTCCACAGAGAACCCATGCCTGGTACCATAAGCCTAGCTAATAACAGGCATGGTGAGTCCATCCCTAAGTGGGGAAACTAAATTCACATTATCAAGCTGCTTTCTAAATATATGTTTGTACTCATAGACAAAATCCCTAAGCTTTAATCAGAGAGGCATCTCTTTACAGTGACTTGACAGTGAATATAGAGACTTGTGGATGCCCAAGAAGCTAAGAATAAGTGATAACTGAGGACTCAGCCCTAAACAACACATTTACATGGAGAAGACTTCAAGGCTTGGAAAACTCTGTGGAAGTATATAAGAAATGGAAATACAGTGAAGAAGTGTGAAATGCCAACCTCTAGACTCCACATAGCCATCTGCAATCATGAATTCACAGCTGTAGTTACCTGCACCGGGCCTATGTAAGACAGGTCCTGTCAACAATTGGTTATGGTAGTAGAAGGAACTCACAGGATTCTTGTGATTTACAACTCAAATTCCACTGAGGTCCTCTCCAACTGATAAGC